TTCGTATTTCTGATGTCTGTATTGTACCATTTACTTGTAATAAAAAGTATCCTGTTCTGTTTATATTTTTTCCTTTTATGTGAAATCCCTGGTGTTCCTGCTCATCCCCCCACTTTCCTATTGCAAACTGACCACACTAAGTAGGAGAACACATCCATCCCAGTGTGGTCAGTTTTCTGACTGTGCTGGCAGTTAAATCATGTGGTGAGGAAACCGTACACCTGTTTAAATTCCTTGGATCGCTCTTCAGAGCAACACTAATGTAAGCAAGCCCTTTTGAGTTTTGGTTGGCTTTGCAGTTTCCAAATTGCCCTTCCCTTTCCAAGATGCATTTTCTTGCAGCTGTGATTTTAATAGACAGTCTATATTATATCATTGAAGCAAGATGCGCCATTCTATAGGCTAGCAGACATGTTTTACAAAATAAGGAGAGTGCAATTCTTTTCGAATGCCTTAGAAGAGGTGTTTAAAAATGTTAGGAGCATTGGCTGTCTGGATTCTGGCCTTTGTCCAGACCGTGGATTATAGTGACTTTATTGAAGGTATTGCTGCCTGATGATCTGCCCAGAGACCAATTCTGCACCAGTTGATACATGAACAGTTTGATAGTTAACTAAGGAGCACAGGGACCGGTGCAGTTTTACTAATATTAAAGGAAAATAGGCTTTCCCGAAAACAGCAGGTTATTGATTTGCGCTTGCTCTTTTAAAATTGTATTCACAGTTTGATGCTTGATTCTACCAAGCATACATTTTGCTACTTTTGCAGGGTGTGTATGCTGGTTCTGTTTCTTTTAGCCATTTCTAGATTGCTTATATACTGCTTGCTTGCTTAATTAAAATGTTGCAGAAGAAAGGAAAATTGCCAAAGCTTAAATCTGTAATGTGTTGTGAACGGTACAAATTACTTATTTAAAAATCATGCAACTAAAAGGTGTTTTAACCACTTCAAGTCTGGACACTTTCACTCCCTTCCAGTCCAGGCCAGCTTTCAGCTCTATCACACTTTGAGTGACATTTACTCAGTCATGCAACCCTGTAGTCATATGACATTTTTATCCTTTTCTTGAGATAGAGCTTTCTTTTGGTGATATTTAATCGCCATTGGGTGTTTTATTTTTTGCCATATACTGAAATTCTTTTTTTTAATTTTTGTTTTACAATCTTGCTAATTTTTTCTTCATAAATTTAGGCCAAAATGTATTCTGCTACATTTGTGGGGTAAAAAAAAAAACCAAAACAGTGTATATTATTTAGTCTGCGTGAAATCTTTAGAGTCTACAAAATATGGGATATATATTTGAAAATTGATCAATTAAGACTCTAAAATGCCGGTTTAACGTATGGCAGTGATCAGGATGCTGGTATGGGGTAAAGCGGTGATCAGGACGTTAGCATGAGATATATTGGTGATCAGGACACTAGTATGGTGGTAATCAGGATGCAGGCATGGTGGTGATCAATGCCATACCCCATACCAGCATCCTGATCACCACCATACCCCATACCAGCGTCCTGATCAGGATGCGGGTATGGTGGTGATCAGGATGCGGGTATGGTGGTGATCAGGATGCGGGTATGGTGGTGATCAGGATGCGGGTATGGTGGTGATCAGGATGCGGGTATGGTGGTGATCAGGATGCGGGTATGGTGGTGATCAGGATGCGGGTATGGTGGTGATCAGGATGCGGGTATGGTGGTGATCAGGATGCGGGTATGGTGGTTATCAGGATGCGGGTATGGGGGTGATCAGGATGCGGGTATGGTGGTGATCAGGATGCGGGTATGGTGGTGATCAGGATGCGGGTATGGTGGTGATCAGGATGCGGGTATGGGGGGTGATCAGGATGCTGGTATGGGGTATGGCAGTGATCAGGATGCTGGTATGGGGTATGGCAGTGATCAGGGTGCTGGTATGAGGTATGGCGGTGATCAGGGTGCTGGTATGAGGTATGGCGGTGATCAGTATGCTGGTATGGGGTATGGCGGTGATCAGGATGCTGGTATGGGGTATGGCGGTGATCAGGATGCTGGTATGGGGTATGGCGGTGATCAGGATGCTGGTATGGGGTATGGCGGTGATCAGGATGCTGGTATGGGGTATGGCGGTGATCAGGATGCTGGTATGGGGTATGGCGGTGATCAGGATGCGGGTATGGCGGTGATCAGGATGCTGGTATGGCGGTGATCAGGATGCTGGTATGGGGTATGGCGGTGATCGGAATGCTGGTATGGGGTTTATGGCGGTGATCAGGATGCTGGTATGGGGTATGGCGGTGATCGGAATGCTGGTATGGGGTATGGCAGTGATCAGGATGCTGGTATGGGGTATGGCGGTGATCAGGATGCTGGTATGGGGTATGGCAGTGATCAGGATGCTGGTATGGGGTATGGCAGTGATCAGGATGCTGGTATGGGGTATGGCAGTGATCAGGATGCTGGTATGGGGTATGGCAGTGATCAGGATGCTGGTATGGGGTATGGCAGTGATCAGGATGCTGGTATGAGGTATGGCGGTGATCAGAACGCTGGTATGGGGTATGGCAGTGATCAGGATGCTGGTATGGGGTATGGCAGTGATCAGGATGCTGGTATGAGGTATGGCGGTGATCAGTATGCTGGTATGGGGTATGGCGGTGATCAGGATGCTGGTATGGGGTATGGCGGTGATCAGTATTCTGGTATGGGGTATGGCGGTGATCGGGAAGCTGGTATGGCGGTTGGCTGTGTTCAGGATACTGGTGTTGCAGTTGGCGGTGATTTGGGTGTTTGGTTTGGGGTATAGCGGTGATCAGGACACTGGTATGGCAGTGATCAGGACACTGGTATGGTGTGTGGGGGTGTTTTTGTGCTCACTCGGACAGGTGACGGGCTGGCTGCATGATTTATTATAGATATTCTAAGGCAGTGATCAGGGACAAAGGGGCACTAAACTGGGGCACTGGGGTGGTTGACACTGCAGTCTGTGAGTGTTCAAGCAATCTGAGAGGCTGCTGTACACTCACAGGCTGCAGGATTGCTTCGTTCTGCTCTCACACTGAGAGCAAAGAGAAGCGATCTTTACTTTCACTTTCCATTCTTTGCTATGTGACTGCTGTGATTGGTCCTATGGTAAAACACCATTTGATCCCCCCCAGACACAGCGGTGTATGTTATAGCAATTGCTGGGCGCCTTTGTGAGCTGCACAGGAGCCCGCCAATATGGGTGCAGGTATGTTGGCCCACATCGGCAAAGCTTCCTGTCTGCCGTGTGTGTGCAGACGAAAAGCGGTTTAAATGCAGATTCTTTGTTCTGCTGTATTTTTCATTTTGTAATAAACTAATTGGGACAACAGTTTGATCTTTTCTGTACACTTTTTAGGGGATTCTTCCAGATCGTTGTACCTACTGATGTTAGACCCCAACCCAAGAATTACTTGAATAAGTTCCTCATCTTTGAACAATCTTTATTTGGTGTTAGGAAAGGCTTATGCAGGCCATACATGGTTCGAATTCCGAATGATTTTTTTTTTGCCCAAAAGTAGTTCGCTCGGTAATCCGATGGTGCCATCAATGATTTTGAAAATCGGCCAACCAAGTCATAAAGTTCACCCCATATAACAGGCGAAACATCTGTTCCTTCCAGGTCACGGGTCATGCGAATATTCTTTTTGGAAAAACAATCATACGATTTGACTATCTAGTCGAAAATCGGTTGTTTTTCATGAATTTTCCAACATGCCTGATCACCAAAAAGGGAGGAACCAGGAAAATTGGCTGGTGCCATTGACCCCTCTAACAGAGTTAAAATCGGCTGATTATTCTTGGGTCCAATTTTCAGACGAAAAATCGGTCGAATTTCGACCCATATATGGCCGGCCTTAGACTCAGGTTCCATGCACACTGGACATTTTTGCTATCCATCCTAGACGCCTTTCCTCCTGGCAGCAGTGTTTTTGGCAGGAAAAACTCTTGCTGTGTAAGATGTTTAGGCACGTCAACCACTTGGTTGTTTAATTTTGTTGGCCAGAATAATAATTTATTTTGCCTTTTGGGAAAAAAAAAAAGTCAAGCACTAAATGTATTTAGGCATGTTAAGATGCGCTTCCATGTGTTTAGGATGCTCCTGGATGTGCTGCAAGTGGGGTTTTTTTCTGCCTCTAAACGCCGCGCCTCCTAAACTCCTCTAAATGCATAGGTGTGCATGGACACATAGGGCACAAGGGCACTTAGAAGCAGAAAAACAAGAGCCCAATGCCCTAGGAGCAGCATCAAAAACATCTAGGGGTTTATTTACTAAAGCTGGAGAGTCCAAAATCAGACTCCCTTCTGCATAGAAACCAATCGGCTTCTAACCTCAGCTTGTTGAATGAAGCTTTGGCAATGAAACCTGGAAGCTGATTGGTTTCTATGCAGAAGGGAGTCTGATTTTGGACTCTCCAGCTTTAGTAAATAAACCCCCTAGTGTCCATTAGCCTTAACCACTAAAAGAGGTCTTGGTCCAATGAACATAGGACACCCCTGTTTTGAAAACCTCTACCTCTAGGTATGTCATTGGAGCAGTGGCAGATTATTTTATTGAGCATGTGTATCTTTCGAGGGCTAATGGGTGCACAGACAAATGCCCTTTATGCAAGTTGGTTGAGCTCAGGTTTAAGTCTTGTTATATGTACTTTGGGAAATGTGCTTTTCTAATTGTATGGTCAGATGTTTATATATTTAAAAAAAAAAAAAACTGCAAAAAGTATTATACAATGGTAGCACTGTTTGGACGCTAAACATAGTTTCCCTATAGTGTACGGCAGTTCATGGCAGACTTTTGTACATAACCTCCTACACTGTTAATGGGCTCCCACATCTGTTTATCAGACTGTCACACAGCTCATGCTGGATATTAAATGAAGCCGTGTAGAAGGTGCACACCGATGCTGCATAATTCTACATAAAACACAAAAAGGAAAATTCTATTTAAGTGTATTCTTTTGAAAGTATTTTAATACTGCATATTTAATATCTTTACAGATTCCTGTGATATAAACAGCTGCACTGAGTGCAAATTGGCTCATGGCTGTGCCTGGATGACATGCAGCAATGGTAAGTTACTTGAAGTTCTGCATATAATTATAACTTCTACAAATAATAAATCTAAGGGTAACTTGACCAGCATTGGGCTAAATAGTCTAACCTAACTTGAGTTTCCTAGTTGTACAGGAAAGGACACAGACTTTATAATCACAACGACTAGGTTATATGCAGCTACCTTCAAGTGATTACAACTGGCAAAAACAGAAGCTGTAGAGACATCCCTCCTAGAAATCTCCCACTTCCAGGTGGCCTCAGTTTTATGCTAGTGTGCTTAGGTGATGGTCCTCTCTCTGAGAGAGTGTTTACTTCAATGGAAGGTCAGAGCAGAATGAAAATTCCTGCAAGCTTCAACCAGTGCTCTGCTGGCCACTGATAGAAGTCACAAGACTTCTCTGCTGATGAGAAAAGATATTTAGTAGTTCAGATTTACTAAAATAATTGCACTTCCATGTTCTGTGTACTGTGGGAGACCAGATATAGTGGATGCAGGGTCCTGGGTTTAGTAACACTTTAAGAAAACGTGCCTTACCCATGCAGGACAAAGCATCAGGTGTAATGTAATGGCAGACCAGCCAGCAGAACAGTCATGATGGAACTTGCACACTCATTCACTATTGGCAGTTGAACAGAGTGGAGGGAGAGGAAATGTTAAGTGCAGTTCTGGATATCCCTTTGCTTCGCCATGCATTGGATATGAAATAGCCCATGGTTTTTAACAGTCACACCCACAACAATCAAACATCAAAATCGGGATCAGTTTGACCAATTTTTTTTTTTTTTTTTTCTCAGCATGTGTTGAGGTGTAACATGGTTGCAAGCAGACCCCACCCCCAAACCGACCACTATTTGACAGCGTTCTTCTCTCCTGCAGCAGCTGTCAGTTTTGAATTTTGCTCTGCCAACACAACTATTTCATTCTTCACAGAAATCTGTGAATGAACTACAACTCTTGTCTGCCACTGTGGCAGACAGTACTTGTATTTCTCAGTGGAACACAATGGTGGTGATTAGACATAGTCCATTGGCACTTCCTACAGCTCCCTAATTGTAAGTCTGTACCTTCCTACAGACAGAAAATTGAAGGAAGAGTCTGCAGGAGCCTAACATTACACCCATGATTGACTGATCATGGTTTTAAAGCCTTGCATGCTAAAAATAAAACAAAATAGTAAGTGTGTGTGTGTGATATATTTACACACACTTTGCAATGTGTGATTTTATTTTATTTGAAAAGGTAGACAGCCTTAAAACCAAGACTAAAATTTAGATTTGATCTTGCTTTCTTGTTGATATGCAGTACAGTGGGGGGGTTTTAAATATGTTTATCATGCAATTAAATTAATGTTTTACTTTTTAACAGCTACTGAAAAAATGTGGAAATGAAACTTCAATACCAAACGACTGCAATAAAACAGAATCATGTGACGGTACTGTACCCTACTTGTTGTGGTGTGTGTGATCAGTTGTACTCAAGTGCAGTATTGCTTTACACCTGAAATCCTCCAGTATTGTTTAGTTCGCCTGTAAGAGCATTTTCAGTGTTGGCACTGGATAGCTGGAGCAGTTGTCATTGTCATATAATGTCTTTTGCAATTTGAGGTACAATTACAAAGTGAGAATGTTTCTGATGCTCAGCTTCCTCTACAGATATTATAGTGATGCCTGTCAGTGTGGTCTGCAGTCCTCTATCTGTATCAGGGTTATATATCCAATGTGTACTTACCAATTACCAAACATCTAGTGGAAGGCCCCTCTGACTTGTATAGAAGTTACTCATTGTTAATTCAGTCTTTATTCATTGATTAGAGAAGAGCTTATGAAATGCCATCACTTTTAGGGTTAATTCAATATATTTTTTAAAAATATTTGTATTGGTAAAATAAAGTAATACATTTTACTATTCTGTTTGCCTTTTTTGTAGGTCCTACAGTGACACCAGCTACAATTATTACTACAGGTAACACAAGTGGCTTTCTAAAACAGTGGTGTGTAAAGATGAAACCTTGTGCTAATAAATGTCCCCATCCATCCCCAAGTACTGGGTTATCTGTCTCACTACCACTGTACATCTTTAACCTCTTACCTGTGGGAGGTTTTACCCCTTCATGACCAGGGAATTTTTTGCTATTCAGCATTGTGCTACTTTAACTGACAATTGCTTGGTCATGCAACACTGTACCCAAATGAAATTTTATATAATATATTTTCACACAAATAAATCTTTCCTTTGGTGGTAGTTGATCACCACTGTTTTTTAATTTTCTTTTTTTATTATTATTATTATTTATTATTATTATGCGAAAAAAGACCAAACATTTTGGGGAAAAGCCTATATTTTCTACTTTCTTTCATAAAAGATATCAAATTTCTCCATCAGTTTAGGACAAAATGTTTTCTGCTACATATCTTTTTTTATTAAATATCTGTTTATTAAACATTTGTCAAACAGCAAAACAAAAATGACAACACAAGGCTGAGGACCCTTTCAGGGTCTTCAAAATATTGCAAATTATGATATTGTACAACAAGCAAGGGCCTCACACAAGGTGTGGCTTGTGGCAACATATACAGACCAAGTCGGACATATCAACAATACAAAGTGCATGACAGATTGAGTTGGGAGGATGTCCCAATGTAGGCAACCAAAACATAACGGCAGCCATTAAACAATAGACATTGCAGAGGCTGTCATGGGCTCAGCTAACAACTGGACCATACCCTTTCGTATTTCTTAGGGAGACCCCTATTAATGTAACTATCTTTATATAGCGGTAGGCTGTTATTCACCAATTGTTTCCAAAAAGCAAAAGATTGGGGGGGTTTCCACTGCATCGTAATGGCCTTCCTGGCATACAAAAGGAGCATGTGTTTGGTAAAAAAAAACAAACAAACTGTGTTTTAAAGGGCACTAGTATAGTTCTGGTCATGATCAAGATAGCGATCCGTGCAGATATTATACTAGTAGTGGTGGTAATCAGTGATTTATAGTGTGACTGATAGTGTAACGGGCAATATGGCACTAACTGGCACTGATGTTGCCAGTGACACTAATACAGTGATCAGCGATAAAGCTGTACACTGTACTAATGACATTGGCTGGGAATGGGTTAACTGTGTGTCTAATAAGTGTAATGTGTGCTGCTTTTACTCGCAGATCAGGCTGCTTTTTCTCCCTGAACTCTAGAGTTGATTTCAGGTAGAAGAAACGGACAGTTTGCTGTCTGTGTACAGAGTTCTGCGTTTCGTAAACACAGAACTTTGTGTTGTGATTAGCCACAGCCAATCAGCAGGTTTCAGCCAAAATCATTGGCTGAAGCCTGCTGACAAACTCGTGTTGTCCAATAACAGCACAGGTTAGCAGGGAGCATGCGCATGCGAGCCTAAAAACCAGGAAGTTTACTGCAACATACAGGTATGTCACGGTGTCTGGCTGTGCCGCCTGCTTGCAGTAAATCTACTGTGGGCGGGCATCGAGTGATTAAACTGAGAAATGGTGTCCGTTTATTTACCCAGTGCTGTTTATAAGTAACACTTTATAAAGCATTGTCAAGCAGCTGTTGTGCTCCCTAATGCTTGTGAACCAAGTCATCCTCAGACAGCTTCCTCCAGACCCTCTGTACAGAGCTGATCCGAGCCTCTCTGTACCTTCGGATTGCTGTGGTTGGTTACAAGAGAGACCAATCACCTGATGTAAAGAGTGTGTTTACACCTCTGAGCCCTCACTTTCCTCTCACAACAAAGGAAAAAGGAACTAATGAATGAATGAGTCAGCTATTATTTCATGCTCGCTGTACAAACCAAAAGTGCAGCAGACGCAAGTAAAGTTTTTTTGGGTTTTTTTTTTTTGTTTTCCCTTTTTAAACTCTTTCACCCCTTTCCATTGCTAGACTAGTGATGTTCATAGTGTGTCTCTGTATATTAACCCTTCACCTCCCTTATGGTATACATCTGCACATTTAACCAGTAATTTCCATCCTCCCACTGTGTCTGATCTGTACATTAACCCCCTTCACCAACTTCTACCTCTTTGTATGAAAGTTATGCGTTCACCTTGGGTGTCTAAAAAGGGGGCATTTTCTGGGGGTTCACAATGGCCTGGCAATCTTATTTTAACACAATAAGGAAGGCCTTTTTTTAAAATGTCATTTTTTTTTTAATCGAGTAAAAAAAAAAAAACAGTGGGTATTAAATACCAAAATGTCTCTATCTGTCTAGAAACCCCCCCCCCCCCCCCCCCCCCCAAAAAAAAATACAATAAAAATAATTTGGGTATATTGTTGCATGATGGATTGAATATTTAAAATGTCAGTTTTTAAACTGTCACAGAACTGAAAATGGAAAAAATGGTCTGGTAATAAAGGGGTATACAGTTGTGCTCAAAAGTTTGCATACCCTGGCAGAAACTGTGAAATTTTGGCATTGATATTGAAAATATGACTGATCATGCAAAACTGTCTTTTTAAAGTGTTACCAAACCCACAGCAGCAAAATCAGTTAGTATATGCAGTAAAGCATGCTTGTTATACTCACCTTGGAACCTAAGGGGTTAATTCTTCACATTGTGTAAAAAAGCTGTTTGATCCTGACTTCTCTGATCCTCCCCTTCCAGTGCCCATTCTTATCTCCTGATTAGACCTATCATGTGGAGTCTCTCTGCACATGCTCAGTTTGGTGTGTATTGCTAGAGAGGTTTTTTTTTTTTGTTTGTTTTTCTTGTAAGAGTACATCTGATCAGCACAGGACCAATCAGCACTGTCCAGACAGGGATTCTGCATCCTCCTAGAGCAAAATAAAAACTCTTACAAGCTTTTGCCAGTGCTCGGCTGGACACTGATAGAAGTCACAAGACTGCTCTAACTGCTGATGAGAAAAGGTATTAAGCAGTTTATATTTACTGTTCAGTGTACTGTGGGAGACCAGATATAGTGAATGCAGGGTTCAGGGTTTAGTAACACTTAAAGGATGGTGATCATATGCCGTTTATTATCACGTTGTTTTGTCTCCTTTTTAAATCATCATGATAGCAGAAATCACCCAAGTGGCCCTTATCAAAAGTTTTATATACTCTGGAATGCTTGCCTTGGGTACAGACAAGGTTTGTCTATGTACAGACGAGGTTTTGTTTATGGCATATAAAGGTTAATTTCCCAAATCTATGGCTTTTTAAACTGTAATTAGTGTCTGTATATAAATAGTCAATAAGTTTGTAAGCTTTTGCATGGATGAACTGAGCAGGCCAGATACTGAGTCATGAGGATTAGAAAAGAACTGTTAAAAGACCCGTGTAACAAGGTAATGTAACTTTATAAATATGGAACTGCACCAATGCCACAAAAAGTCCTGTGAGGCGGGTCAAAGTGTTGTCAGGCATATTGTAACTGGGTTTTTTTTGTGGCGTTGGTGTACTAAAGGCTTCTTTCTGGCAACTCGTCCATGCAGCTGATGTTTGTTCCAGTATCATTTTATTATGCTCCTTCAAAACAACCACACTGTCTTTTTCCAGAGCAGCCTGTATTTCTTCTGAGGTTACCTATGGGTTTCTTGGTGTCTCAAACAATTCTTCTGGAAGTTGTGGCTGCAATCTTCCTTGGTCTACCTGACTTTAGCTTGGTATCAAGAGATCCCTGAATTTTCCACTTCTTAAATGATTGAACAGTACTGAATGGCATATTCAAGGCTTTGGACATCTTCTTATATCCTTTCCCATCTTTATAAAGTTCCATTACCTTGTTACGCAGGTCTTTTAACAGTTCTTTTCTGATCCCCATGGCTCAGTATCTAGCCTGCTCAGCGCATCCACATGAGAAATAACAGTCATTAACTGGTTATACACAGACACTAAAAAGGAGCCAAACAACTGTGTTATAATAAATGGTTTCATATCATCACTATCCTTTTTTTTTTTTTCTTTTGCATGATCAGTCAAATTTTCAATATCTTTTGAGCACAACTGTATACTGGCTGATACTCAGGTGGTTAAAGGACTGCTTTACTTTATGGAAACCCCCTCTCAGATTCCCCCATGGAGAAATACTTGAAGCCCCAGTCCTGAGATCTTCAGTGTGCTGCCCTGCTAGTGCCGTACACCATTTTCTTTAAAACCGCTTTAGCCGAGCCCAGTGCCTGTGCAGTCCCTGTTTCTTCCTATGCATGGTAAAGATCTCAGGAATGGAGCTGCTACAGTGTGTGTGTGTGTGTGTGTCTGTCTGCGTGTGTGTGTGTCTGCGCACGCGCGTTGTGTGTGTGTGTGTGTGTGTGTGTGTGTGTGTGTGCATATATATATATATATATATATATATCTATATCTATATATATATCTATATCTATATATATATCTATATCTACATATATATCTATATCTATATATATATATATATATATCTATATCACACACACACACACCTGCTGCTCACTGGATATTTTCTCTTTTACGGACCATTCTTTGTAAACCCTAGGGATGGTTGTGCGTGAAATCCCAGTAGATCAGCAGTTTTTTGTTTATTTTTTTAAATACTCAGACCAGCCTGTCTGGCACCAACAACCATGCCACGTTCAAAGTCACTTAAATCCCCTTTCTTCCCCATTCTGATGCTCGGTTTGAACTTCAAGTCGCTTTCACCACGTTTACATGCCTAAATGCATTGAGTTGCTGCCATATGATTGGCTGATTAGCAATACCCAATAAAGTGGCGTGTGTGTGTATGTATATATATATGTATGTATGTATGTATGTATGTATGTGTATATATATATCTCACACATCACAGGAAATAAGCAATTGATCCCCTGCTGATTTTGAATGTTTGCCCACTTACAAAGAAATGATCAGTCTAAAAATCAAATGGTTGGTGTATTGTAACACTGAGAGACAGAATAGCAACAAAAAATTCAAAAGAAATGCATGTCTAACAAATGATGCACTGATATGCATGTTCATGAGGGAAATAAGTATTTGATCCCCTATCATTCAGCAAGATTTCTGGCGTGCATGTGTGTAGATATATGTATATAATATATATGTGTGTGTATGTATATAGATATATGTGTATGTATGTAATATGTGTGTGTGTGTGTGTGTGTGTGTGTGTGTGTGTGTGTATTTGACTGTGAAAAAATAATAGTAATGTAGGCCTGCTTAGTTTGCAGTGTTTCTAATGGCAGCCTGTGTCTTTTCTCTGTGTAGTGGTCCCAACAACGAATAAAACTGTTACTTCTGCATCACCTACTACTGCTAATGCTTCTATAACCACACATGGTAAGTCCCTGGAACCATCCTTTGTTATAGACCACATTTTATGAAGGTTTTAGTTTATTTGTTAGTGCAGATGAATAACTGTAATCCTGTATTCCTCCACGCTTAAATATCCAATACTAGCAAATGAGTCTTTTACAGTCTTTGCTGTGGCAGGCCCAACCATATCTCCATCTCAAAACATTGCTGTGATGGCAAACTCTTTCACAACCTTGATGGCTGCCATATAGAGAATGCCTAAAACAGTGGTGGTTACCTTTCTTAATATGGTGAGCCTTAATTGCGGCCCTCAACCTCACCAAAGGGTCGCTCATAAGATTCAGTGTCAGAGACAGCAGACACACAACAGGATATAGCTAATTTAGCTAATAGTTAAGACAAATGCCCTGATACAAGAAATGGTCAGAGACTGCATACAAGATACAGAATATGGTCAGAGACTGCAGATATAGTACACACACTTCAGGAGACAGTTGACTGGCCTATCACATAAGATTGCTAGAAATCACCATTATAGCAGGACAATAAAGAAACACTATTTCTGCATGCAAGGGCCCTGAGTGCCACACAAAGATAGACAAAGGGCTGCATGTGCCCCAGCCCCAGGATGGCCAACAGGGGTCTAAAGCTTTCTTCTGACAATGTTTTTTTTTTTTTTAAAGAAAGTGAGTCTAAATATCACCTTGTCAGAACAGAATACTCAACCTGTAATATGCAAACACAGAGGAGCAGTTTAGGAGGTTCAAGCATTTACTGTATACCTCATATTAAATAAAATAAAATTTTTGCAGTAATGCACCACTACTTACTATAAATACCAAATGGTGAGCATTAAGTTTAGTTGTTGGCATGTGAATGTGTCTATTTTGTGTTTAGAATTGCAGCATAAGTGGGTTTGGGGGGTGCGCTAGTAGAAGCCCATCAGTTGGCCCATTCAGGCCAGAGTCTGGTTCAGGCATAGCTCACAGAGATTCTTGCTATTAGATGGCAGTCTAAAGAGCGGTGTGTACAGAAAGCATTTACAAATCTCTTGGCGAACTTCAAGCAGTGTTTTTAAAGGATAGGTTCACCTTTCGTAACATGTTACACCCTGAATAAGGGTGTAACATGTTACGATCAGACCGGCCCCCGCTTCCTGCTTTGACTGCTAGTAGGGTATCTTCTCCCCCCTCGCTAACTGTCAAATAAAAAAAAAAAAGCCACCTTGTGGGGCTCCAGCTGCTTCACTCATTCACAGTCTTCTGTGAATGAGAAACTACAATTCTGGACAGCCTTAGTGGGTGACAGCTTGCAGTTCTCCATGAACTACCACGGCGCTTCACAGTTCATTCATTCTTCCTGTCAGTGTATCTGCTTGCTTGTGCATCCCGTATGGGCAGATATACTGATAGATCTTCAGGAGACCTGCATGGCACCAGCGATTTGCTGATTGCTGGTGCAATGCTTTACAGGCTCCTGCATACAAAAATAATGCATATGTTTTTTACCTTTTTTATTTATTATCTTTTACAAAAAGGTGATCTTACCCTTTATGCAATTAGACCACTTTTGGCTCTTGTCTGGAAATACTAAATATGGATCATAAAGCTGAATTACATCCAGAAACATAGAACATTGCGATGAGTCATGCAAAGTCTCTTCTTCAAAAACTTCTTCCTCCCCCTCCCCCCAACAATTTTTTTTTTTTAAATACATTCTTTATTGTAGACTCCAACGGAGTGGAATAAACAGGACAGTAAACATATGACTTGTGATTGCAAACATATAAGAAAATGAACCCTTACAAAACATCTGCAAGGTATATGTCTACTGAATAGAGTCCACGAACACCGCAAGTGAAACAGAAAATGTCTTACTATGATTACAATGTTGTAAGGCCCTGGCATTTCTTTTTCCATTTCCACAGGGGTGGATTAATACGAACCAGAGTAGATAAAGTAGAATATAGAATGGGAAAGGGGAAGGTGAGCATAAAAAAGGGAAAATTAGAGGGGGAGTGGGGAAAAAGGCAATTACTCCCACATGGGCTCTACATCCCAATTTTGCCTCTTCAAGGATCTATAGCCTTACCGTCAAGGTCCCTGTGCAAAACCCAGGGAGTACAGATCAGGAAGTGTTTCTCTGATTGTGTCAGCCGTCAATTGTTCCATTAACTGAAGATTGCCCACTTGGACCTGCCAGTGTTACATAGTTGGTGGAGAGGATTTTTTCCACATGGCCAGGATACATGCTTTGGTTGCACTAACTTGGTTCTTGAGGAGAGATTTTTTTGTATCGCTTGATTGACATCCGAGATACATGCAGCAGGCAGGCTGCCAAGTCCTCCGCAAGAGACACATCCATCACCCTATCGATCGTGTCTGAGACCTTCGTCCAAAAGTCCCGTAGATTAGGACAAAACCAGAAAATAGAGAGTAATGTTCCAACTTCTTCTTTTACATCTCCAACATAGAGGACACAGTGACTGATCAATGTTGTGTAATGTTTCCCACATGTCATGATTTTATAAACCTTTTCCTGTTATTAGCTATGGAGGCCTTATAGGAAAATTGTAGTCTTACGTTCTGTTTCCCATTTACATAGGAAGGGGAGGTACAACAATTTATTTTCTGTAGACGCAGACACTGTGCAGGGTACACTTTCCGCTCTTTCCCAGCATCTGTAGGATGTAACTCCAGCATTATTAGTGGCCATCCAATGGCCAAAGCGGATGACTGGGAACCTGGATGTAAAAGTGGGGGGACAGGGAATGCCTCACATTTCTGCACATTGTAGTGAAGGGCATCATTTTGCAAACTGCTGACTTTTCGATTTCTTTAATTTGATAAGATTTTAGTTCATTCTTTGTTTTTTATATTTTTTTTAACCAGTCCCGACTGAAAATTCCACTTCAGTTCCTGCATCAACCAGCTCTAAAATCCTTACAAGTAAGTCCTAAAAATTTTGTTTGTCTTTTTACTCTAGCAGCAGTGTTTTCTAGCCCCTTAAAAATCACTTGCAGTAGATCGCGTTATAGCGGACTGTGAAAGGAGGTTTGAGGGCGTTCAGGTGGCCAGTTGCAACGCTGTCCCATTCACTTACATGAAACATTTTGACAGGTAATGCCTGTCGAACTCTGTATGTTGTGTTAAAATTGCCACATTGCAGTTCAAAGTGCTGTGGTAGTGTGTACTTGCCTGAGTAGCACCATATCCACTTATAGGTGGGAAGTAAAAACACAGATCAACCACCTGTTTTATCGCCACCTGTGTGACTGCTTTATTACTGCTTGTAGATCAGTTTTCTGTTCCAACTGAAAAGAAATGATCTATAGTCGACAAATCATTTGATCTATACGACACATACAAGGAAGTGTATTTTGATTGAGAGTCAGAAGATATGATTGTGAAAAATTATATCTCTGATTTTTCTGTGCAGTCTCATAATCTGATCAAAATCTGATCAGATTCCTGAACAAAGTATCTGTGCAGCCAATCAATGGAACACTTTAGATAATGTTATTGCTTGGCCAATTGGCTCATTTTGATAGAATCTGATCTAAATTGAGTCCAAATTGATTGGAAAGGAAGTCATGACTATGGTGGCCACCCTTAGAGGGATCACCAGCAGGAGGAAGGAACTTATTAATTTAGAATATTGTGTGCAATCCTGGGGACTGTACTTAAATAAAACAAATATTTAAAACCATTGCAGAGGCGACTTACAAAAACCTTGTAACGGCTATGGGATAAACCATATCAAAAAAGACTGCATGATCTTAAAACGGTATTTAACCCAAAAAGCAAACATTTTATTATATTGCAGCTTACCAATTCTTAAATGTGATGGCTGTATTAGTTTTCTTTCTTAGACTTTTTTTCATCTGGCGATCTGACCAGTAAGACCAGTAAGATCCTGCAGATGTAGCAGTTTGAGGATTGAGACAAATCATTGTAAAATTATCAGCATTTATTTATATAACACCTTTATCCCAAAAGAAAAATAAACTGTGTGCTATAACTGATTATTAAGTGTCAGCTGGAGTTTGGCTTCAATCTGTTAATGTATCTAAATCTGCTAGTCCAGGGGTAGGCAACCTTTCAGACGTTGAGGTCTGCATGGACAACATGCAGTGAAGTAAAGATCCCTTGGGGGGGTTTCTTGGCGGCGCCCTTAAAAAAAAACAACCCCCCCCCCCCCCCACAGTAGTGTGCTCTGTCCCCCTTTACATCACCCCCTACTGTAGTGTCTCGTACACCCCAGTGCAGTGTTCTCTGCCCCCTCCCCCCAACAGTAGTGTCCTCTACCCCCAATGCTGTCTCTCTCCCCCCCTCCCCCCACAGTAGTGTCCTGTACCACCCCAAAGCAGTGTCCTCTGCCCCCCTTCACACCATATTCCCCCCACTGTCGTATCCTCTGCCCCCCCACCCCCAGTAGTGTCCTGTACCCCCTCCAAACCAATGTCCTCTGCCCCCCTTCACATAACCCCCCTCACTGTGTAATGTTTGCTATCCTGCCCCATAGCAGTGTTCACTGCCCCCCACAAAGTGTCCTCTGCCTCCCCATACCCCAAAGCAGTGTCCCTTGTCATTTTCTTCTAAGCCCCCCCCCCCCCCCTTCCCACGGAAACTCCTGTTCTTCCCCCCCCCCCCCTTCCCACGGAATCTCCTGTTCTCCCCCCCCCCCCCCTTCCCACGGAATCTCCCGTCCCCCCCCCCCCCCCCTTCCCACGGGACCTCCCGTTCCCCCCCCCCCCCCCCTTCCCACGGGATTTCCCGTTCCCCCCCCCCCTTCCCACGGGATTTCCCGTTCTCCCCCCCAACCCTTCCCACGGGATTTCCCGTTCTCCCCCCCCCCCCCCTTCCCCATGGGATTTCCCGTTCTCCCCCCCCCCCCCCTTCCCACGGGATTTCCCGTTCTCCCCTTCCCCCCCCCTTCCCACGGGATTTCCCGTTCTCCCCTTCCCCCCCCCCTTCCCACGGGATTTCCCGTTCTCCCCTTCCCCCCCCCCCCTTCCCACGGGATTTCCCGTTCTCCCCCCCCCTTCCCAGGGATTTCCCCCCCCCCCTTCCCACGGGATTTCCCGTTTCTCCCTTTCCCACGGGATTTCCCGTTCTCCCTTTCCCACGGGATTTCCCGTTCTCCCTTTCCCACGGGATTTCCCGTTCTCCCTTTCCCACGGGATTTCCCGTTCTCCCTTTCCCACGGGATTTCCCGTTCTCTCCCTTTCCCACGGGATTTCCCGTTCTCCCCTTCCCCACGGGATTTCCCGTTCTCCCTTCCCCACGGGATTTCCCGTTCTCCCTTCCCCACGGGATTTCCCGTTCTCCCTTTCCCACGGGATTTCCCCCCCCTTCCCACGGGATTTCCCGTTCCTCCCTTTCCCACGGGATTTCCCGTTCTCCCTTTCCCACGGGATTTCCCGTTCTCCCTTTCCCACGGGATTTCCCGTTCTCCCTTTTTCCCACGGGATTTCCCCGTTCTCCCTTTCCCACGGGATTTCCCGTTCTCCCTTTCCCACGGGATTTCCCGTTCTCCCCTTCCCCACGGGATTTCCCGTTCTCCCCCTTCCCCACGGGATTTCCCGTTCTCCCTTCCCCACGGGATTTCCCGTTTCTCCCTTTCCCACGGGATTTCCCCCCCTTCCCACGGGATTTCCCGTTTCTCCCTTTCCCACGGGATTTCCCGTTCTCCCTTTCCCACGGGATTTCCCGTTCTCCCTTTCCCACGGGATTTCCCGTTCTCCCTTTCCCACGGGATTTCCCGTTCTCCCTTTCCCACGGGATTTCCCGTTCTCCCTTCCCCACGGGATTTCCCGTTCTCCCTTCCCACGGGATTTCCCGTTCTCCCTTCCCACGGGATTTCCCGTTCTCCCTTTCCCACGGGATTTCCCGTTCTCCCCCCCCCCCTTCCCACGGGATTTCCCCCGTTCTCCCCCCCCCTTCCCACGGGATTTCCCGTTCTCCCCTCCCCCCCCCTTCCCACGGGATTTCCCGTCCTCCACCCCCCCTTCCCACGGGATTTCCCGTCCTCCACCCCCCCTTCCCACGGAATCTCCCGTCCTCCACCCCCCCCTTCCCACGGAATCTCCCGTCCCTCCACCACCCCTTCCCACGGAATCTCCCGTTTCCCCCCCCCCCCCCCCCCTTTCCACAGAACAATTTGAAACCTATGTGGCTCTAGAATCCGCAGCTGGTTGTCCACCACTGATAGTCACTGTAGGGACAAGATACCCTACCATATGGACACCCATGATAATGTGTGTGTGAGAGATTGATAATGTTTTTTATTATTATGGTTTTATCCAGGTTATAAATTATAGCAACTGCAATTTCTAACATTTTTTTTTTCTGTTTATTTGTAGCTTCTGCATCCACTACAATTGTGCCAACTGTGCCCCCTTCAAAAAAGAACACCTTTGATGCTGCTAGCTTCATTGGTGGAATAGTTCTTGTTTTGGGCATCCAAGCAATTGTATTCTTCTTGTACAAGTTCTGCAAAGCCAAAGACAGGAATTACCATACCCTTTAAAACCTCTCGCTTTGGACTGCTGGCCAACATTGCTCTAACCAAATATTGTAAACTTGAAGATTTCTCATGGACCTGTTGAAGAAAGAGGCCTTTTTATCTCTGCAAATTGAACTGAACCATGTTTGTGACCTCACTGTCAAGAAGAAATTTACTACAGCTCCGTAATGCTGTGAACTGCATGCTTCAATCACATCTGCTTCCTAAAAAAAGTGCTTCATTTTTTTTCTTTTTAATACTGTATTAGAGGGTAAGAAATATTTCCATGAGTAAATCTATGAAGTACAATAATGACATCTATATAGAGAGTAAAAGCTCTGGAGAATGTGACAAACATACACAAACATTAGGTGAGTGATGTACGAGGCAACATAGTTTCTACCTAGTATATACCAATATGGGTTAGTTGAAGTATATTTTTATTTTCCCTTTAAATTCAAAATGTGACTTTTACCTGAAGTTGATTATAAAATGGAAATCGTGCATTGATTTCCAACACAAACTATTTCTTATCATTTAAGTGATAGGCGAAGGTGAGATTTAGAAGATTTGTGCCTTACAGACATACTGAAAAGTATAACCCATTATTTACCATTGCTTTGATTTTCATAGTAATTCTATTTTTTATGACTTTTTTTTTTTTTTTTCATTGTGAGCATACCCTAATTAAATAAATGATCACCTCTACAGTGTGCTTATTCTTCATCCTCCATGATGACTACAGGATTCCAATGAACTTGAAAACAATTGTTTGGAAGGTATTTCCTGAATAGATGGGTAAAGTGGTTGTATTCTGTTAACGAAGGTAAAAAAAAAACTTGTGTGCTGCTCCCCCCAATACTTACCTGAGCCCGATCTTGATCCATCGCTGTGCACAGGAGCCCCCACTCTCCCAAGTCTTTCCCTTCTTATTGGCTGCCAATTAAGGCCAGTAAGGAGGGAGCAAAGGGAGGGACTGAATTGCACGCTGTGTGTGTCTTATAGACGCAAAACACGGACCTCGGGAGCAAGCATGCATGTGTGCTCCCTGAGCAAGTAGCTCAGCTGGGGGGGGGGGAGGAGTGCCAGCGGGGGACCCTTAAGAGGAGGATCGGGCTGCTCTGTGCAAAACCATTGCACAGAGTAGGTATGTATGACGTGTTTTGTTTGGTTTTTTTTTTTGTGTTTTTTTTAAACAAAGACTTTAACATTCCTTTAAATGAAAAATAGAGGTTATGTTCTTGCATAAATTCTTGAGAATGTAAAGCGTTTAAAATAAAAACATATTCAGCTTGCACATTGTAAATTAATTTAGAGCCTCCAGTTATCTTTCTCCAGATGTCTTTTAATATTGAGTGTTGGGGTTTCAATATCAAAATGTAATATGTGATCTAACTTGTTTGTGGGCATAGCAATAGCTGGATCAGACTTGTATTAGAACTCCTTCTCTTTGTATTCTTTACTGTTTTTGATACAGTGCCAAGACGTTAAAAAATACAGTACATTATAGATTAATCGATTTGCTATAGACCACTAGTTCATCAATGATGTGCACTAACAACAGTGCTGTTAACAGAGCTTAGCAGGTACTAATAATAATTTAACGTAAGGGGACCAGCACCTGTGGTCCCCAATTGATCTATTTATAGAAAATGATCATGTGCCAAAGGCAGGTCGTTATTTGAGTTGGCAGACAAATCCAGTACACACATAATCCGAATGGGGGGTGTCCATAGCAGACAAGTAGAACTTTTCCTTGTTTAACATGCTGGATGACTGTTCACCAGTTTGTGGTTTCATTTTCAGCCATACTTGTTGGCAGATTTCTATATAATAAAATGTGCTACTTCTGTATGTGTGCTCGCTTAGTGCCTTAGAAAAGATCTGAAGTTGAATACACGTGCTTCTCACATAGTAGTGATGGGTATTCTGTTCTTGTTGCAGAGTACTACACCTTCTATTTGTGGATTCACTCTTCATATGCTTTTTTTTTTTTTTTTTTTTTTTTTTTTTTTTTGAGACTTTATTCCAACACTTTTTTGGTGTGTCAAGAGGGAATAGATGTCTCTTAACTACAGCTACACTTCAAATCATATCAATAGTGGAAAAGACTATAAGTATTAAAGAACATTGCCAAAAGACTTCTATGCTGTACCCAAGTGCACATGTCGTTTCATAGGCATGTGCTGCATGGACCAAGCTATAATTTGATTGTTGAACTTTAGAGAAGCTGACAATTGCAATTATTTTTTTCCCTACATTTAACTCTATCAGGGCTTTTCTTGTGTATACAAGCATTTTCTTTTTTGTGTCCACTTGTACTGACTCTTCATGTTTCAGTAAAACTGCATGTAATAAGGTACTTTCATATCTACTACCATAGTATGTAAAACATTTCACTTCCGAGTCATTTGGAAAATAGGGCTATATAATGTGGGGGGAGAGAGAAAACTTTTGAAGTTGTATAAATTCCACACCACAGAAATACAGCTAAAAATTTAAGCTATATTTCAATTCATAAGGAATTGAAAAATGTCTATGTGAATCTGTGATTTATAGCCCTGACAGATCTTGGTGCCAGAGGGTGCTTTTAGTGCCAAATAGTTACCCATTAAGTTTTAGGGGTTTAAGTTGGAGGTTACATGCTAAGGATACGTTTTTTAACTGTTGGGTTAAGGTTCGAATGAGGTTAATGTTTAGTCAACTATGAATTGTCTTAATTTTTATTAGTTTTCAAAATATGTATAGTTCTGTTAGTATCACAACAGTGGGAATACTACATACAGAGAAGGGCCCATTCACACTAGGAACTGCATTTCAATCACACATGAACTCGCTCTGTTCCTGTACAGTTCTGTGCGGTGCAACTTTAGCCTATCCATTTTGAATGGGCTGAAATCACACCACACCAAAATATAGTGCATGTACTAATTTTGGAAATGCACTGCATTTGCACCCTGTATTTGGGGTGTCATTATCTTTGTGCTGACATCTGATACAGATTGGAAGAGCAGTGTGATTTGAATGCGGTGCAGGAACCTGACACTGTACATGGGTTTCCCGCACAGCATTCTAGTGTGAATGAATGACCCTAAGGCTAAGTTCACATCTCCACCTTCCTGCGGGCTGCGTTGTATGCAGGCACAAGAGCCCATTCATTCGAATGGACTCCCGTGCCCCAAGACACACAGGGAAGAAGTCCCTGCACTTCTTTGGAAACCGCAGCCCACACGGGAACCTCTGTTCACAGTACGGTTGCAATTTCCAGTGCGGGCGGCGTGCCATTAGAATTAATGGCACCAGCCCGCGGGTCCACATTCCTCTGTGTGGGTGGTGCGGTTGCACAGATTTTTGTGTGGATCTGTAGCGGCACCACCCACACAGATGTGAGTCAGGTGTAAAGGTATTATTGAAGTACAGAATAATATGAATGTTGACATTTGTATATCAGTCTTATTAAGGTGGTATGTTGTTTGTTTTTTTTTTTTGAATCAACTAAACCTTGCAACGTGTTGATCTGCACTGTGCAGCAGTCTCATTGCATAGGCAAAGCAATTTGCCATGAGTCCTAGGTAGGATATGTTCTACTTTTTCCATTGCAATGTGTTGCGAAGCCATACGTAAGATGAATGAAGTGTCTTGTGACATTGGAAAAAAGAAGAAAAGTAAACAATATGATGCATCATTAGATTGAATCTGTACTGCTGCCTTTACAGCACACCCCAGCAGCCACAGTACAATGTGCCTGTTGGCGTGAACAAGCTCCTCGTAATAAAGACAACATTTTGCAAGCAAGTTAATTCTACATGTTTGGGTTAAGGGGAAGATGGGAGTTAAAGCTACAGCTTATTATTCAGAGTAAGGTTAAGGGCGAAGTTTTGTGTTTTTGATAGGCTAGGTTAAGGGTTACATTTAGATGAAGATATCGATAAGTGTTGCGGTTACATTAGGAGTAAAATGAGGTTAGAGGTCAGGGACAGTGTGGGAAAACGCTTTATTTCTAACTTGTTTTTGGTGCCAAAAGCCCTTCTCTGAACTTCCAGCACAGGAATAAAACAGCACTATTTCTGGAATGGGGATCATTTGTTGTAATGCAGGGAACTGTGCTAATGGCTACAGAAACACTACTGCATTGCCTTATAGCATTGCTTTCATTATAAGATCATAGCCCAGTACATTGAGAATTAAATGCTGTCAGTCTTCATTGTGCTTGGCATGAAATATGAAATTGTGTGACCAAATTTAGCATTGACATTGTCACACGGGGGAGATTTACTAAAGCTGTTCCCCTTGAATCTGGTGCAGCTGTGCATGGTAGCCAATCAACTTCCAAACTCAGCTTGTTCAATTAAGCTTTGGCAATAAAACCTGGAAGCTGATTGGTTTCTATGAAGAGAAGTGCACATGCACTGTCCAGCTTTAGTAAATAAACCCCTAAGTGACAGTGTGGATACTTTTATTTGATGCAAAAAACACCATTGAAGGGGTGATGCTGTGTTTTTGTTTTTTGTGGAAATACTGATTTATGCCCACAAATAGCACATGGCTGAAATCATTTTCACTTGATGCTGTAAAGTAGAATTTAGGAGCAGCCGCTGCAACTTCTGGGTGTAAGCTAGCACAATAAGAGATCTTTTTGTACATGGCTACTGTATTATGCTGAGTGTCGGCTCAAACTGATCTCCATTGTGCTAACATGCATGCATTGGGCTAGTCAGCGCCAGCGATGAGAACTTTTTGAAGTGTACTGCCATTGATGGTACGTAACTTTTTTTTTTTCCCTTTGATTTGACAACTTTGTAAATACTGCCTATAGTGTAAAATAATGTGTTACAAAACAGATTTGGTAAAGTGTATTTAAAACCTCTATTTTTAGTGTATTTTGCATAAATCCTCACTGTGTACCATTTTCTTACGCAAATCTAGTCTGCTCCTGCCACACAACTAGCAGCAGCTTTGCCAGCCCTACCATATGAGTTTGTTAGTTTGTCCATTGGCCTCCTGTCTGATGAACCCCATAAGCAGCCCAAGATCTACTAAAGTGTGCGTGGCAGGCTGGCAGTGCTGCTGCTAATTGAGAGGCAGTGGTGTAGAGTTTTCAGTCACCAACAGGAAGGTATTGGCAGAATCTCCTCGTTAGAAATTTTGCAACAGGTTAAAAAAATGATTTGCTTAATGAATGTATATGCAGATGGACATTGTGCTAAACATACTTCAAAATGACCTTTGGTTTTACCTACACTTTAATCAACATGTAACAACCTGAGTTTTCAGAAACACCCAATAAAACTATAATGCCAAAGTGATCCAACCATATTACAGTGTAAATCTTGTGGAGTTATCATACCAACATGATCATTGTGTAATTAACAAAACTGTGATGAGCTTTTGAGTATCTTTTCCATTCACTTTAGCTCTGTTACAGATACAAATGCCTTTTAGGAATGTCATCATCCTTCTAATACTATCAGATGGATAATTGCAAATAAAATTGACTTTGTTCTAAATACATATGGTGTCCTTGATCTTTTTAACCTCATGACATTTTATTGCTAGTTTTAATTGACATTTGGATGGTTTTATGTGTATAGTTGAAATTGCCTCGCATTACTGGACCACTACAACGAAAAATACTGTACTCTGATAAATGCATGGGTGATAGTAGTATGATTGTGTGTGTGTGTGTGTCTTTAATGGCATCCCAGTCTTAGTCTGTATGGCTCAATATTGAGTTGGCCCACCCTTTGCAGCTATAACAGCTTCAACTCTTCTGGGAAGGCTGTCCACAAGGTTTAGGAGTGTGTCTATGGGAATGTTTGACCATTCTTCTAGAAGAAACTTTACACTTGGCACAATGCAGTCAGACGAGTACAGTTCTCCTGGCAACCGCCAAACCCAAACACGTCCATCGGATTGCCAGAGAAGTGTGATTCATCACTCCAGAGAACACATCTCCACTGCTCTAGATTCCAGTGGCAGCGTGATTTACACCCTGCATCCAACCCTTTGCATTGCATTTAGTGATGTAAGGCTTGGATACAGCTGCTCGGCCATGGAAACCCATTCCATGAAGCTCTCTATGCGCTGTTGTGCTAATATGAAGGCCACATGAAGTTTGGAGGTCTTTAGCTAATGACTCTGCAGACAGTTGGTGATTTCTGCGCACTGTGCACTTCAGCATGCGCTGACCCTGCTCTGTCATTTTACGTGGTCTACTACTTGGTGGCTGAGTTGCTGTTGCTTCCACTTTGTTATAATACCACTAACAGTTGACTGTGGAATATTTAGCAGCAAGGACATTTCACGGTTGGACTTATTGCACAGGTGGCAACCTATCACAGTACCACGCTTGAATTCACTGAGCTCCTGATGGGTACCCATTCTTTCACAAATGTTTGTAGAAGCAGTCTGCAAGCCTAGGTGCTTGATTTTATACACCTGTAGCCATGGAGGTGACTGGAACACCTGAATCCAATGATTTGGAGGGGTGGCCCAATACGTTTGGCAATATAGAATGTGTGTGTTAACACACTAAAGCTTCAATGAGATTTTCGAGATTGGTTATAGATACTTTAAAGTAGAACTAAGGTGACATATTTAATATAGGCTGCTCATATCCGTAAGAGCCAGACCAAGCTCTGTACTATCTAGGGGTGCTTTGAAATGTATAGAAAACTAGTAGGTCCTTCCTTTGCCAGGATGGCACATCTGCACAGGTATGATGCATGAATCAGGGCGCAAACTAGCTGTGTTCTGATCTGTGCATTGGACCCGTGCAGATGTGCACTGCAGTGGTACACCTGTGTAAAAGAGGCCTTACGTTGGCGTTCAGATTTAAGAATACACTTACAAGGAAGGTTTTAGAGAAGGAGATAATCCTAACTTATGTATTTTGTACATATTACAGATCCATATTTGTAATATTAGGAACATAGAAATCACCAGTTTTATTTAGTATTTAGCCGTAGTTCATTTAGCTGTGTAAGGATGGCTTGAGATGTACTGTCCATGAGTTCTGGCTCTCTGCATCTGCTTGGTACCTAGAAAAAAAAAAAAAAATCATGTTATACGACAAAAGACTACATAAATTGCTACTACAAATGTCTATAACAAATTAGTTTTACTCAAATAATATTAAATTGTGATTCTTCCTCTGTGTACCCCTTTTCTGTGTATATAGCTGTTTTTCTGGAGTTCAGCTTTAAATGTTTATCTCTACTATATGCAGAACCGTAAAATAGTTTTAAAGTGATGATAAATGCTATTTTCCCTAGTCATCTTCCAGGACAGCTTCAGATGAAAAATAGGCTCCTCCCAGGAAACACACACACCACCTTCTTTTCCTATAAGTCGTGTCGCATTTCCACAGATCACAAGAAAAAGTAATACCATCCTTTTGACAGAAACCCAAGCAACGCCAGAGAGGGTGACTACAACAAAATTGATGTAAGAAGATGCTTAATTGCGTACATCGAGCGCACGAAAACATGGAGACGCTCATCCAGTCTCCATCTTATTCCAAGGCCCAAGGAAGGGATACAATGCCTCCAAAGGCACCATCACAAAATGGATAAGAGAGGCCATCTCAGAGGGATACAAAACTGTGTCACTGGCACCTCCACCTGGCTTAAAAGCACATTCAACCAGGGCCACCACAGCTACCTGGGCAGAGAAGGCTGGGGCCTCCTCCAGACAGATCTGCAAGGCCGCAACATAGTCCAGCTTCAGCACCTTCGCTAGACACTAACGGTTGGACCTGATTGGCAACAAAGACCAGGCGTTTAGCAGAAAGGTCCTGCAAGCAACAGCCCCACCCTAATGTACGTATTCCTATTCCATCCTCTCACGTGAAACTGTCCGGGAAGATGACTAGGGAAAACGCAGTTGTTTACCTGTTAACTGTATTTCCAGGAATCATCCAGGACAGCGTAACTCCCTCCAGATTACTGTGTACTTATATGCTGGTGTTCCGTCATGCAATGAACTGGTGATATATTGTTTCTACTGCCATCTTTATGCTGTATCCTAGGCCTTTGGTCATATTCCTGTATAGAGGGTCCCCTAGGGAGAGAGGCTACTCATAGGAAAAGAAGGTGGATTTGGTGTGTCCTGGGATCAGCCTCTCTCTCATGTGAAGCTGTCCTGGAAGATTCCTGGAAATACAGTTAACGGGTAAATAACTGCGTTTTTTTTTAATTAGAATAAAAAAAAAAAGATGTTCAACTTAACCACTCTGTACAATGGTATTGCACAGAGCGATTGCTTACCTCCTCTTCTGAAGTCCCTCGGCAGTGCTGTCCACTCCTCCTTTCCTCTGCCCCCCCCCCCCCATAAGCCTTGTGCTTTGAGGGGTCACCTATACAGGTGCATCCATAGACACACAGCACGGCTCGGCTTTTACCCCCGATCCCTCCTCACAGGATTTGACTGACAGCTGCAGGAGCCTAGGGTTGCTAATGCTCTCAGTCTCCTGCTAGAAGGTGTAATGACATGTAAATGGATACTGAGGGTTATGAATTTTTCCTATATTTTTAAAAACATTTATTTTGTTACAAACTTTAACAAGCCCCAGCATGTTCAGAAGCTATGCTCCATTGACTCTCCATGCCAACCTTGGATTTACCAAACTCAGACTGTAGGGAGGAGGAGTTGTTAAGCCAAGGGTTGTGGAAGATGTAGTTTCATGAGAACAAGCAGCACTACATCCTATCAGTAAGGAAACTACATTCCCCAGGGAGCTAGGTGGTTTAGAAGGATGAGTGGAAGAAAATTTAGTAGGAGGATCAGGGCACTTGGCACCAGACAGGGGAAGTAAGCAGACATCCAAGGAGAATGCTGAGTCCTCAGACACCCACCCACCAATTTTCTATCAACACAGAGTTTACCTAATCTGGTGTTGTTCATACAATAGAGAGGTGTGTCAGCGATAAGGGTGGAGGCCCACTATCAGAAGAAAGGGACTAAAGTCAGCCATAGACGGTTTGAATTTCGGCCGGTTCAGCAGGGACCAGCCGAGATTCAAAGCATCCATGGGCAGGCCTGTGGGATCTTACATGTAATTATTGCTAGCGGCTATTAAAGTCATTAGCAGTAATCACTATGCTCTCCTGGTGGGGCGGCTCCAGTGGTTGCAGGAGAGAAAATTGCTCCATCTATGGCCTAATGCCCAGCAATACGAATATCGAATGAATTAACGTGCGTGGTTTCTTTTGCATGCTAGTCTATCAAAAACGAATGGGTTACTAAAGTTATAAAAATTCTCATAAGACAGAATACAACTTTGGAAGTGATGTAATGTATTATGTTGTATTGTAGTGTATTCTTTCATTTCCAAGCATGTGTGGTGGTGGATTTTTTTAGTGCAAATACTATGCTAGTTACACGAAGAGCATTCGTTCTGTTATCTTACGAGAAATTTTCCCTTAGGATATTTTCATATGAATGATTGGCTCTCGAAAGCTGTGTACTAATAAATACATTACCGGATGGTTGTGTTATGTGTTTTTCCTCCTATTTTCTCATCATGTGTACCAGGCGTAAGTCTCAGAGGGCTGATCAAATCAGCAGGTGCAATGCACATCGTTAACACAACACTTGATAAAAACATTCATCATCAGTGCTGATGCAGTGGCTTTGTTTATTAACAAAGAGATAGGGTTGGCTTTGTTCACAAGCCACTGGTTACCATATTAGTGAATGATATGAGGTTCAGGTGACCTCCACTATGCTTATGTTTTAATATGTTTAAGTCACGGGTGTCAAACTAAAAGTCCCATGAGGCATTGCAAGATTAACAGTTACAAGCATGGCTTCGAAAAGGTAGAGGCATGATGGGACTTGTAGTTTTGAAACAGCTGAAGGGCCGCCAGTTTGACACCCCTGGTTTAAGTGAATATGTGTATTTTTTGTTTTTTAACTTTCTGTGCAACACGATGATATTCTTTGCAAAGAGAAATTTTACCATGTTCACTGGGGAAAGTTTCCTTATACTGTGCAACTTCCCATGTAAAGCGAACAGCCATTTTGCCTTTAGTAAATCAATCCCAGTGCTAACCACAATGGGTCATCCTGTGCTGGGATCAGCACTCTGCACAAACCCATGCCAAATTGCCTACATTGAAAATAATTGATTTGGAAATGAGAATGCTATAGTATCTCAAGTACTGCAGTTTTTTAATTGTATGTATATCTTTTGCATTTGTAGTAACTCAGTATAAATAATTTCACACGTTCTCACAGTTTTAGGTCTCTGGAGTCTCATCTCTCTGTGGGTGCTTGCTCTGGTTTCAGTTCTTGGAACATATTGGATGATATCCCATGCTTCTCGGTTGAACAGAGGTACAGAAGAAGTAACTAAAGTATTACAAATAACGTATTTACAATTGCATGTATGCAGTTTATTATGCTCAAGTATCAAATATAAATTACAAGTAAGTCTAAAATGAACCCCTTGTATCATTACAGGGACACCTCCTTTGAGAAACCTGAAGGAAGATGAGCAGGCAAATTGTATGTCAGGTAGGATGGGAACTTTGTTGTCTAATGCAGAGGCCATCATTGGTGTCAGTGGGAGGAATAGTGCCCCATCATTGGTGTCAGTGGGAGGAATAGTGCCCCATCATTCTTGTCAGTGGGAGGAATAGTGCCCCATCATTCTAGTCAGTGGGAGGAATAGTGCCCCATCATTGGTGTCAGTGGGAGGAATAGTGCTCCATCATTGGCATCTGTGGAAGGACTAGCGCCCCATCATTGTTGTCAGTGGGTGGAACTCTAATAGGAAGGGGTGAAGCCTAAAGAGAATGGGGTGGAGTTTGTAGATGAAGGGGTGGATCTTAAACAGGAAGGGGTGGGACAAATTTAGATGCGGGGGTGCCTGATTTTTGTCTTGCCCAGGGCAGCACAAAACCAAAGTACACCACTGGTGGAAGCAGCTATTTGCAATTATAGCGAGAGGCACCGCTCTATATATCAGCAAGGGCCATCCTATATTAAGGAGTTAATAAAGGCATTCTCAAGCGACTGAGTTGATATTATTAAAACCTGTTAGTGTTCGTTTTTTTTTAAAGAACTCTCTTCTCATCAATCAATAGGCTCATATAGTGTTTGACTTAGAATTTAGACAATAACATTTCCATGATTGTGTGGTGCAAACTAAAGATCAGTAAGCAGACCTAGGTCTATAGCCCTTCTCCAACTGTCACTGTACTCCATATTTCCAATATTGTTCTTTTGCAGTTAAGAGTTCTTATTCCTAAAGTGTATGTCTGGCCAAAATAAAAAAAAAACACACTCAATACATCTCTGCAATATTTGCACATTTCCCCATGGTTTTTCTTACTGCAAATACAAAAAAAAAATCACCAACTGATTCTGTCAAAAAT